CCAGCTCCAGGTCGAGCTGTTGTTCAGCATCTTAGCTGTAGAGGGCAGTGTCACTGGCCCTCATATGTGGGATCTGAACCGGGGCCCTCTGGAGTACCAAGCCAGTTCTTAACCATCGCGCCACTCGGCCGGCCCTTAAGCTGTTTTTAATAATAGAAAAAGCAAATATAAATTTAAATACATATACCACTCAAGCAAGATAATTCTGAATAATTCAAGTTATCAGAATTTCTCCATGTTCTTCATTCCTATATCTCTAGCACCTAACCTTGGGCCTGACACGTAAAGGTTTGCCATTGTTTGTTGAAGGAAGTAATTCACATCAAAGTATTAAGATCCTTTATGAATTTGGATTGATTGCCTCATTGGTTGGTCTGATTTTCACAAAGCCCTACCTGGCATTTGCCTTGTAGCAGGCAAAACTGTAACTGATAATCTGTCCTTTTGTGTTATTTATAGGAATATTTTGCACCATTTCCCTCTGCACGTACGCTGCCAGCATCTCCTATGATTTGAACCGGCTCCCGAAGCTAATTTATAGCCTGCCTAATGATGTGGAACATGGCTACAGCTGGTCTATCTTTTGCGCCTGGTGCAGTTTGGGCTTTATTGTGGCAGCTGGAGGGCTCTGCATCGCTTATCCATTTATTAGCCGGACCAAGATTGCACAACTAAAGTCTGGCAGGGACTCCACGGTATGACTGTCCACACTCAGGTTCACTGCTCAGTGGCCCATCCACAGGGCGGACGACTCCTGACAGGAACAGACTGGAGTTGGCATCAGGATCCCAAGCACAAAGCGGTCTTAGACGTTCCAACCTGTTGCCTGCCGAGCCCTTTCTGGATGACTGATATAAAAATCATGCAAAACCTCCATACCTTTCTAAGGACAAGACTACTGTGGATTCAAGTGCTTTAATGACTATTTATGCTTCGACGTATGAGGACTAGGGAGCAGTGCCATGGAACATTTATTTCTAGGTTTAGAAAAAGAAGATATCGCATTGGAAAAATTTGTATGATTGCCACTTATTTCAGAAAGTTTGTATATAACGATGACCTGAGAGTCGTTTCTATTTGCAAAAGGATTCATAACAAAGCAAGTATAATTTTCTTGTCGTTGTACCATGCTTGTTAAATTTCAATGCAGCTTCGTCAGCACTAGTCCGAATGGGGTCTTGTTGTGTTGGCACCAAATGTTTGTGTTTGTGGATGTTCCTCGTCACAGGAAGATTCTTCTTCTGTTGCCTTATTTATTTTTTAATGGCAGTCTCTTCTCCATCTTCGTAGTGGAATCAAGATCATAAGACAAACAGATCAACCGTGTAAGAGCTAATCCGTGACACTATGCAGTATTGTTTGAAGTCCTATCTGTTGTTCAACCTCTGTCTCTCTACGTTAACTGGGTTTCTGCATTAAATGACTGCCCCCTTGTTCATCCGTGTGTGTTTTCCTGTGTTCCAGCTGTGGCAACAGGTCTCCCTGGTCATATGGACAGATGAGAACCCTGTTTTAATAAGACTATTATTAAGCTTTACTAATGGCTTCATTTCAATTAGGTTAGTCATTATTATTTATCTTTTGTAGCAATCACACCCTTTGTGTTGAAAAAAAGTGTCATTTTCAAATTATTTTTACAACCTTACCGTGGTATTTTAAATCTCTCTGTCCCTCTGTTTCTGCTTTTCCCTCCCTCCCTCCCTCTCTCTTTTCTTTACCATCTCCCTTGCATTCAGCCAGTAATAAGGATACATGGTCTGCCCTTCTTCCTGGACCTTCCGGGTCAGTGGGTTTTGACCTTGGCTGCCCATTAGAATCACCTGTACCTGACTTCTTCAGCTAAACCTAAACTGGACCCCACCACAGACCAGCTGACTCAGAATGTCTGTGACTGGGCCTGGGCTTCAGTATTTCTGAAAAACATCCCTGGTAATTCTGATGTGCAGCTGGGACAGAAAGCCACAGCTCTGGCCAGACATGCAGTTATCTCCTTAGCTGCTAACACTGCTTTAGCTCTTACTATGGGCCTGTAACTGGGCCGTGTGTTTTTTCCAGGTATAATTTCATTTAATCCTCGCTGCAGTCATCTGAGATAGGTACTATTATTCCATTTTCTTGATGAGGAAGCTGAGGATCAGACTCAGAATGATTGTACCTTTTTCTCATTCCTTTTCTTATGTGTGGATATAGGACAAAAGTTAAAATCCTTCCTTTGTGTTTTCTTATTCTAAGCGGGGGGGAGGTGGAACAGTTTTGGGGGGATAGGGGTGGGGGAAGGGGGGTAGAAGCACCAGCTCACTTCTAAACTTTTCCTTTTAACTCCAACATTATCCTCTATTCTACACACAACATGGAACAAAAATGCTCTTTAAAATAGGGGAAGATGACATACCCAGAAGTGGAACACTGTTGCAGGTTTTAATTTTGCAAAAGATACATTTTTTTCTTCGTTATAAAAACTGACTTGGTACTCATAAAAGGAAAATGGTCATCTACATCCCCTTCCCAAACAAAGCCTGATTTCCAAATGACAGTGTCCATACGTTGTCATGGAAGCCTTTTGGAAGAGGTTACATGATCCCAGAGACCACACGAGTTCTCACTGAGACCTGTGGGTATAACCCCTGGCAATCTTTCAGAGCTGTTAAACCCATCCCTTTGGATGAGATCAGAAACATACAGAAAGGGGCAATTATTTTTATTTATTACTTATGCGGGAAATTCTCAAAGCAGGCGAGCTGTTTCTTTGAAGTCTTCTGTATAGATCCCCATAGAAGATGTCAAGACTCCTGAACAATTTATATTCCAACCACCAAAGCAGCATCTGAGCGAGTGACTTTTGAAGTTTCTGAGAAGCTTCTCAGGGATTTAAGGTGAGAATGGAAGAAAGCCTCGGAGTGACAGAAGGTTGAAGGGTTCACGCACCAGAAAGATTTGCCTGGAAGCAGGAAAAGTTCAGTTAGGATTTAAACGTGTGCTGGCAAGAGCATAGCCCCCCTGCCTTGCAGCCAAAGTGAGCTCGGAGCAAGGAGCAATGTGCCTAAGCTTCCTTGCTTTCTATTTACTGTCACGCAAGTGGGAACAAATGTTGCCCAAGCTAGACATTTGGCCCCCCCAGCCCTGGGGCTTCTCTTAGGGGTATTTTCTTATGTGGCTTGTGAATAAAGAATGACTGAAATGGCTGTACAGTACTGCGTGGGGCAGAATAATTTATTGAGATGATTTGGTTTTCTCCCGATGTTCTCTCTGTCCCATCTCTGCGTGCCTATAGTCAGCCAGTATTTCCTTGCCTTGGAGATTTTTTGCAGGGCGGAAAGCAGAGGTAGCTGAGCTCACTGAAGTGAGGGTGCAGTGGGTCCCGAGCGGGGACAGGCCAGAGCACTGACTCTGTGGGGTAGAAATGCTCAAAGGAATCCCAGAGGCTGGAAGGAGGAAAGGATGGCAACCACGTGATTAGCTGGGCCACGTGCTCCCTGGTATCAGGACCTCAGAGAGGATGGCTGTGTGGAGGGTCCAGCGATACTGGGGCCCTTGGTACAGCGGCTCTCATGTTCCAACACGAGCAGCAGAACTAATGGACAGGGAGGGACCAGCCTTGGAACAATGGGCTTCTCAATGGTAGCCATCCTGACTCTTGGAAGGTCCAGGGACATCGACACATTGTGTTTATGTGTCCCCAATAACAATTGAGGGTAAATTTCTCCCCTCCCAATCCTGCAAGATAGAGCTTTGAATAGAAAGCGGATTTGCAGAACCACTGGGATTGTAAGCTAAGAATCATGTCCGTCTGCCACATATAGACATTTATAAGAAAAGAGGGCTTTACCCCAAACCTTGGTGAGATAACCATAGGCCCCACAGGCCCCTCCTTTAAACAGTGTCATCTTGGTTTATTTGCAATGTTAGAACTACTGTGCCCACTTTGAGCGAACCCCACCCCCTCCTTCTTTGGGGCATCATGGACCCTTGATAGTCAAGAGTCCAGGTTGCAGGAAACTTACATAGAATGCAATTTC